TATATATATATATATATATATATATATATATATATATATATATATATGCATGCCCCTTATTTAAAAAAATATAATAACTACAAAACAACAACTCAAGAAACTCGATGTTTCCATTAGAAGCCTCCGCTGCTCCTTCAGAAATTGTTGCTCAAAACCACTTGAAAGAATTAAAAGAACATTTGGCTCCTTGCAAACCAAAAATAAACTAGAAGTGACTCCAATAAATGAAAGTATCTTTATGGTTGTAGAACTCTGATGGCTTCGCTCCAACTTATAGATTATTTTACCAATATGTGACAAACTGATGTTGAATTTTAAAGTGGATTCATGTCATACCAATTTACCATAGTTAAGGTTTTTATTGATAATAGGTTGTGACAATATACATGTTTTTTAATTTAAACTTTAGGCCCCAGATTGTTTGGACTTTATACCCTCATCCAGTGCAAGCTCTCGAGCTGCTGCACAATGTTGCCACAACAAACGGGGACAGCAACAACAAAAAGTGCTGCTGGCTGAATCTGCTTTGTCCTTCAGGAGGTTAACATACATTACTGTGTTCTTACATCTGATTTTTATTCCTGCACAGTGCTCCAAAGCCCTATTGGTTACACAAAAAACCCACAACATTCAAAATGTCATAAGTGCTCTTCACTCAGACGAGCTTTAAGATACTAAGAGATAAGATACATGCACATACATTAAGATACATGTTTTATTATCATAAAGCAAATGGCACTTCACTGATTTCACGTTATCTTCAAAACATTTATGGTTATCAGTTCGTGCCAACTACAGTCTCATCTTTTGGCAGGTTGTCTGGATGAAACCGCTTCCATTTGTCCGACGAGCTTACGAAGAACTCGACTCGATGGCTCGGGTTTGTCCGCTGGAGGAGGAATTACAAACAGCAACAATCAACCAAACGTGACGGGGCTGGGAGTTTCCACAAACCTGTCAAAGCAGATTTATTTTTACACACTACACCTTTGGAACAAATAGTAAATTTTATTCACACAAAATCAATTCACCTTGTCCCCCTGCACAATACAGACCCCGTGTACAGCCACTGTTTTATTAGCACAATCTACAAGACTCTCCTGAAACAAACCTACATCTGTAAGCACACCTGCAGACAGATTCATACCTTTCAACCTAAGATAGAGATCAAAGTTCATGCTCAGTAATCCAGGTAAAAAAAAACCAACAAAGTCAAGTCAGGTCATCTGGACGGTTTCTGTTTTGTTGAAACGTTTCGTCCTTAATCCAAAGGACTTCATCAGTCTGAGGAGCCACAACAAACTCAGTCCCGTAAGCGGCTTACTCACAAAGTGGGTCAACCACTTTTATGGTGATAAGCTGGTTTCTGGAGTCCACCCTCTCCTCTGTCGACTCCTCTGAGGTAGCCATGGTCAAAGTGGTTCAAAACAACAAAGTTCATGCTCAAATCTTCTTCTTCTTTCGGCTGCTCCCTTCCTGAGGAGTCGCCACAGCGAACCAAGTCGCACGAAGAATTATTAAACGCTGGATGCCCTTCCTGACACAACCACTAGACCACCGAGCTACCACAGCCCTCTGTGTGGAGCAGAGAGCTGCTATCTGGGGTGCCCGGGGGAGCAGATGGTGGGGGTTAAGGGTCTTGCTCAAGGGCCCAGAGTGGGGCAAATGAGGATGGAGGCAGGTGTGGGTGCTTCACCTATCCCACCCACATTTTATCCCACCCACATTTTTGATGTTGTCGGTACTGGGAGTTGAACTGGCGACCTTATGATCACAGGTCCACCTTCTCTAACCTCTGCGCCACCACTCCCCAAAGTTCATGCTCAATAATCCAGATTAAAAAAAATCCTTATGGGACTGAGTTTGTTATGGCTCCTTGGACTTATGAAGTCCTTTGGATGAAGGACGAAACGTTTCAACCAAAATAGAAACCGTCCGGAGGACCTGACTGAACTTTGTTGGACTAAGATAGAAATCTTTTTATAAAAACAGTGTAGAGATTGTTTTCTAGTGACAATCTGATTTGTAGTAGCTACGAACAAAAAGGACCAAATCACTTTTTACTACGTGATTGAAAACAGAACGAGGGGCGTCTGCTGTGATGAATGATTGAACACGCTCATAAACGAACACTACGGTCGAGTGTCCGTACGGTCAAACCAACTGCTTTCATCGTTTCTTCTTAGTCTTGACCCAGTTGTAGTTTCTCTGTCTTGCTGCTCTGGAGGTCTGCGTCGTTGCTCACTTGCACTTGGTCGAAAAAGTTGAAATCGACCACAAATCGCCCGTTTTCGGTGCTGAACAGCACCGGTTTGAACTCGTAACCCCACAGGATCTCCTGAGGGATGTAGGAGGTGCGGCTCTGGCACGTGGCTGCGGTCGACTCCATGGTGGCGTTGAGGGTGACGAGCAGCTCAAAGTCTCGACTGCGCAGAGTGTCTGCCGTCAGTCCTGCCAGCGGGCTGTGCTCGTCGATGACGTGGTAGAAGGTGAGCGGGAGGATTAGGAAGGGGCATTCTTCACTGGAATCCATGTAGAAGTCAACGGAGCTCTGGTGGATTTGGGTCTTCTCACCTTCCTCCGTCACGTTGGAGTGAAACAGCTTTCCTGTCAGCTGGCATTGGATCAGGAGACTTTTCCTCATGTTGGCCACCCTCACCATCAAACACAGCTTCCCTTGGTGCCGACAGATCACTGCAAACTGGCTGAACTTTATGGTTTCCGCTCGCTTCTTGGGTCGAGCCAGTTTGGCCAGAAAAGCACCCGTGACAAAGATCTCCGCCAGGCCAGTGATGACGAGCTGGGCCACCAGCGTGAAGATGGCCAGAGGACACTCTTCAGAAATGCAGCGGAAGCCATAACCAATGGTGGTCTGCGACTCCAGAGAGAACAGAAAGGCTCCGGTGAGCGTCTCCACGTTCATCACGCAGGGCGTGTGCGTGGCGTTCAGCCCGACATCGTAGTCCCCATTTCCCAAACCGATTAGGTAAAAGACGACCCCGAAGATGAACCAGGTCATGATGAAGGTGGAGGCAAACAGAGTGAGCTTGTAGCGCCACTTCATGTCCACCACGGTGGTCCAGATGTCGTGCAGGTACAGCTTGACCATGCCCTCCACGTTGTCGATCTGAACGTTGTTGTGACCATCCTTGGACACGATCCTTCTCTGGACCTCTGACTTCTTGTGGGTCATGTTGCTCTGGTTCAACAAAAACTGGCTTAGACTTCTGAAGGTTTACTTTGGCATTGCAGATAAAAAAAAGCTGGGAAAAAAAAACACAAAAAGGTAAATGGACTGTACTTATACATCACCTTTCTATCTTAGCAAGATACTCAAAGTACTTTACAACAATCTGTGCCCTCATTCACCCATTCATACAGCACTCTACTAGATCTATACAAAGATCAGAGCTTCATCACGTTCATACACCGATGGGACGCACATCGGAGGCAACGAGGGGTTCGGTGTCTTGCCCAGGGACACTTCAGCATATGACTGCTGGTGGAATCGAACCCCCAACTCTCCCATTGGAGGACGACTGCTCTAACCACTCAGCCACAGCCGCCCCACCCATGACCTTGGCGTTATTACCATGAGCGCAAAGCTAAACACGTATTTCTGTTTACCCTCACCCTCATGTACAGACTCTCATCCACTCTTCAGTCCTGCCTAACCCAAAGAACACCAGTCAAACATGGGGGGAACATGTAAACTCCGTAGGGGTGTTGAACTCCGTTACCAAAAGGAGCCAAAAATTCAAAACTTTGTCCGAGCCACGGGCCACTTTCAGCCGATACATTAACTTGAGTCAGACACGGGAGATTTTCTTGGTTGCATGTTCATGAACAAGAGTTGGATCTGTCTCGTTTGACGTTCTGTTGCTCTTTCCACATCAGAATCAATAACGACAGAATGATCCAGCCTTCGTTCTGGCTTCAAAGTTACCCAGCTGGCAAGAGAAGTCTATACTAAATTACGTATTTATCAGTTGTTGTTTTTTAATTTTTATTAGAAGAGATAAATATTTTACATTTAAATTATTGTCTTGGGGGACGAGATTTGGCCCGTGTCTCTTGTGTTTCATGTGTGAGGTCATCCTTCATCTCTTTAAACTAGAACGCCAAGGGCCAAGGCTTTCTTGTAATTGTTTAGAGGTTTTTCAGAAGGTCTTTGAAAGTTGTTTTTCCTTTTTACACTCGTTTCCAGTAAAGTCCTTGTACTAAACGACGACAACATGAGGACAAAAGACACTGTTGGCGTATTGTTTTTATACTTCTAGTGCTTAGTATATTCTTAGTTCATTTCTTAGATCTTATTACTATTTTTCGTTATAATTTATACTTCTGTTGGATGTAACTGGGACCCTGTGTACACAATTTCGTTCCACCACATGTACCACATGTGGTGCGAATGACAATAAAGAAACTTTGACTTTGACATGGCCAAGTTTAGCTCCTTGGAATCAATGGGCGGCCTTAAACTTTTGCATGAAAACAATGTCACGTCAGAGTAATGTACCGAGATTAATGGTTTTTTTGAAGGTGCCTGCTTATTAATGACTGGTTTGTACTCGGCTGTGATCATGTGATCCAGTCTCATGAGGCTGTGACCTTGAGTAGTTTTTAGTTAACAGGTAAGCAGCGTTAAAAATTAACGCTTAAGACATAAATTTGAGGTCACTGGTTAAGTTTCATATAAGCTCAGTTGTAAAGAAATACAACAATGAGGAGCTAAACATGAGAACAGCTGGTTTCCTCACAGTGAGCAGGATCTGGGTTTAAACACTCTGGTCCTTCTGGTTTGCCTGTTTTTGGGTCATGTGTTGGTTTTCTCCAGGAGTTCTGGATTTATCCCACTGTCCAAACACGCCCACGTCATGTTACATTAACATGGCGCGCATGCATGGACGTCTGTTTGTGTGTCCCTGTGATGAACATGTCCATTGTGTCTCTTCTGTCCACTTGGAAATGGACACCAGCTTCCTGCGACCCCGAGGGACCGACTCGAGAACGAACAAGAAAATAAATTAAAGCGCCTCAAAGCTGCTGATTCTCACTCATTTCTGAACTTATTAACAAAAACTAATTAGATTCATTAATATAAAACGTATTTATTTTTATTTTGCCTTTAGAAGACATGATCTTTAAGCTTCACTCATAAACCCAAAGCCTTAACTCCCTGGAAAAAACGTGCACAAACTCCGACAGGAATGCAGACGACGAGATCGTCGGTTTTATGACGTTTTATGACACATTTTGGTTGATTGACGAGTTTGTTTGTTGTTTTCATTTAATTTCAGGTCTCACCTAAAGTGGGATTAACCTAATAATACAAATCCTACATTTAGGAGTGACTCTTGAGGAGACAAAGGCATAAAATGTGTGACGTTATCACAACTATAGGGTGCATCATGTTGGATGTTAGCAGATTTATGGGTCTTTGGACGTTTTACAGACCGTCTCTCAAACTGAAGTAAACCCAGGCTGTGGCCTAAAAGCTTCACTTTGATCTATTTTGGTGCTTTCTCAGCTGAATTTGTGTTGGTTTAAATCATCATTAAATCAATCTGCAAGTTAAATTACCCCCAAAGCAAAACCATTACGTATGAATTCTCCTCCTTAGACAACCCTGACAGTCAACTTGAATTTATCGAGCCGGCGGTGCTCGATTCGAGGTTGATCATTAAGTTTTCGGCCTCGGACGAGATTAAAGCTGCAGTTTTGACAGGAAAACAGGATGACCTTTAAAAATAATAATAAAAAAAACAAGAATCAAATGTTTTTCCCAAGAGATGATCTAATTTTAGCTTTCTTTTGAGCCTCTTTTTTGTTGTGCACAAAGAAAAGATGGACGTATGAGTGGACGGATGCAGCTACTGTGGCAGAAGCATTAAAGCTGTAAATTATTATTTTAATTTTTGTCACACAAAACCTTCAGGGTTGAACTAAAGTCACTTCTTCTTAAACGTTATAAAGTCTTAATAACATCAGCAAATCCTAGTTATCTGAACTTGCATCATTGTGCATCTTAACCTTTTTAACAGTGAAATAATGAAAAGTGTGTGAAAACACAGGAAACTGAGTCAAAGTTCAACCTATAAAAACAACAAATATTAGATTTTAAATAAGTTAAATCCTCAAGAGAAACGAACACAGGCAGAGAAATCAACTCAAAATGAAATATTTCACGCCAACGTGTCTGCTGGTTAACCTCACAGTGAAACATTAAGGGAAGCTGGAACATTTAGTAATTATTAATTTATCAGTTTTCAGCGTACCTTCATCCGGCGGTGGCGTCTTGCTGAGCAGCCTCAGGTGTTCGCCCTCATTTGTGTCATGATGTCAAATCTGTAAGGTGAAGCTGGAGAACATCCAGTCCAGGGTCCTCCTTTCTCCTTTTGTCCGCTCCGAACAACAAAGGAGTTCGAGGTAAAACGGGGTTAAGGCACAAAAGCTGTAAACTCTGATCTGCACGGCGGACGGCTCTTTATCCTCCCTCCCTCACCTGCTCGCAGGTGGGAGCGACACGCGCCATGGTTGTTGTTGCTTCAAACACACACCCAGATTTACAGCTTCTGGTTCGCGTCTGAAGGACAGAATGAACTCTGAACGTGTTCGGAGTCAAATGAAACCATCGTCTGAATTAAGGTCAAATTAAAGTGGAGACTCAGAACCTTGTGGAAATTTTGTTGCACCGATTTCTGCTCGAGCTAAAAACGTCTAAGTGAATAAAAGGAATCTAATTAGACAGAAAAGGTGTATTTATTTTAACAATTGTGACAATATTAAGCAATAATACAACGAAACACTGTTTTTAATCAATAATCTGTTTTCCTCGTGTACTTTTCTGCTTCTCAGCTCCTCTCACATTAAAATCATCTTAAACTATTTATGCTGAGTCGGCATTCACAACTTTGTTTTCCTGCTTGTTCTTCCCTTTGGACTCAACGTGCTTCTGCAGACTTTCAGCTACTTTAATCGTTTATATATCAGAAACACTCAGGTCTATCAGGACTTGTTCGGCTTTTGTTAATTTTATACTTTTCAAAAAAGATTTAACAGTTTTAATTGAAATTTCCCACAAGTAACTTCTTAAAACACAATTCACTTGCTTTGGAATACTTGCTCTATTATCTTCTTGTGCTAATTTTAGCTTTTAGCTACCTTCCTTTTAGCTTGCACTGTGTGCCTTTAAGCTTTGAGCTGAAATTTTGCTAAGTTTAGCTACAGTTTAGTCAAAATTAGAATCGGTTTGCTACTTTTATTAATAATTCACCTAATAGAATCAGTATAGAAAATTTTAGCTACAGTTCTGCTTCTTTTGTTTTGTATGATTTAGCTAGCTTTATTAATTTTAGCTAGTTTTGCCAAATTTCAGACCCATTTGCTCATTTTAGCTACTGTTTTGCTGATTGTAGCATCTGTTTTGTTGTTTCTGCTCCTTTAAGTTTTTAGCATCGTTTTGCTAATTTTAGCTTGAGCATTTTTCTAGCTCTTTTTAGTTATGCTTAGCAGCTCTGCTTTTAGCTTGTTTCTGCTCATTGCACCCTCTGGTACGCTAGTTTTAACTTTAATATCACGGTTTCAGCTTTTTCAGCACTCGGCGTTCACACTGCTTTTACTGAGTTTTCCGTCTAGTTCTTTTAAAATATGCTGCTTCGGCTGATTTTGTAAGTAGCTGTGGATTTTTTTTAACCTTATTTTTAGCTGCATGTAAAACTGGTGTAGAAATCCATCTTGTTCAACAATACGTCTGCTTAAGACTTTAATCATTGCTACAAATTATATTCACTTTTCTTCTATTATTGCTTTTCTTGTGACACAGACATATTTTAAACTAAAGGTGTAAATTCAGGATATAGTTTCTGGCTATGCTGGTCCACATGAAGGAAAGAACCAAACCATGATTCTACCACCACCGTGTTTTACATATGATCAGGGTTTTATGTTTTAATGTCGTGTATTGTTTTAAGGAAGCGCTGTCGAGTAATTAATAACAAAGCAGAGGCGAACTGAAGCTCTGGATGAGTTTTAGCTAACAGCAAAAACAGCCGAAACCTCGTCTCAGCTGTTTTTGTAAGATGTGTGAGCACGCAAGCTGAACAGGACAGGGAAGTGAAGAAGCGTCAGCCGATGAACGAACTGTGAAAACGTCCTGACGTGGACGGCGTCTGTTCCTTTAACAATGTTTGACCTGGAATCCTTCTTAGTTTTGTTATTAACCTCACAGTCCACATTCCTGAGGGTGAAGGTTTTATCTGGCTACAAGATCAGCAGTTCATCGCCTCGTGCCTTCTAGTTTTCACACATAAAATACCACATCTATTAACAAGATAAACAAAAGACTGTTGTTTTATAGTCTTTTAAACAAAACAAGTCGAGACAGTAAAATTAAGTTCAATTTTACAGTGATTATATATCTCTGGACATTATAAGCAAATCTTCAAAAATACAGGAGATGAACTGAAAACATAATTTATACATCTGACAGATCAGCCCGTAAGACATAAAAATCTAAATTCTGATGGAAACTTAAGGCCTCAAACCAAGTTAAATTAACTGTTTGGTTATAAGTGCTGCAACAAGTAAACAGGAATGACCACAATATAAACCCACAGCACCCCCTGCTGCCCAACCTGTGTTACTACAACAATCCATTAAAAGCCTCCACTGACTCAATAAACAATGTTTGCCAACAAAAAAATATACAAATAACTTTGTTTATATAACAAACAAACTTAAAATAAGTTCCTGTTTTTTGTTTGTTGCTAAAAATAAGTTCACAAACCAAAACAATCAGCTGATGAATCATAAATTCATTCACTTCAGGTGATAAAACCTGCACCTTCAGTCCGTCTGTTTAAACTTGAATCAGAAACTGTCTTTTTTGTGTACAAACTCAATAAATCCCCGTCTTCTCAGAAAGGTGCTCTTCCTCAGGGTTTAAGTTACTGCCATCTGAACATATCAAATCTGTGCTTCGATGTTGAGAATAAACATAAAACTTTGATGAAAAGTGTGAAATCTGATTTAAAGACCAGCGCTGTACATTTGTTTATGAGGCGCCACAAAGACCAGTTCTCTGATCAGTGATTCTCATGATGTGCAAACAGATGAGCTGGTTTTACAGAGAAGGTTAAAACCTGAATTAAAAGTATAGCTTTAACGCTTCTCGGAGCTCCAGATGTGAATTTTCTGGTTCCGAGAACCAAAACAAACGCTGACTGATTTGATTATTGGTGCACCTGACATCTTCAGGCGTTCACGGCGGTGGCGGGTTGGCTGTGGCGGCCCTCAGGATGCCTCGCAGCACCTTGAAGTTGTTCAGGGGTTGGTTCTCCTTGGGGGGGAAACAGGGGCCGCGCTCTGTAGCGTAGGAGTAAGGGAACCGTAGAACCCAGAAGCCGTCAGGCGGCAACACGACCTCCGGCTGCTCCGTATGGAAGACTGGGCATGGAGGAGGACCGGGCTGGACCTGAAAACACCACGCAGAGTTTTTACATTTAATCTTTCATAAAATGCTGCATATCTGTTGGATCTTGAAGCTGCAGGAGGATAGACCTGCCTCTCAGACACAAATCCCTCAAAATGATTGAAAAAACTAATAAAAGTAAACTCTTGTGTCACAAGTTAAACTCGTTACAGTCTGTTATTTCTGTGTGCAACACTCGGGCCTAAAGGTTCAGAAAACACCTTCAATCAGCTGCAGTCACCAACCAATGACACAAGATGGCTTCCACCGCATTATGATTAAAAACATCATTTCGCATGTCAACAAGAAATAATCTGAAATTAAAATCAGATGAAAAGAAAACCTCTCTCTAAAATAAAATGTAGATGTTTATAGAACTTAAGGCAAGAAGGTGAAGAACATTAGTCTCTGGGTTTTGATTGTAGAGTTGCAGTTTGTGGAGTTATTACTGGACAATCAACAGATTTTAATAAAATCAGGTTATTTTCTTCTAAAAAGTTTTTAATAAATTTTACATTACGGAACCCAATTAGTGCCACTATTCATGTCCATTTTCTATGTTAAAATATGTTTTTTATGTTAACCCAAAATGCTGCTGCCAAAGTCTTAACTGGAGTTACTGGTAGAGATCATCTCTCTCCAGTTTTAGCTTCTCTCCATTGGCTCTCTGTCAAATTCAGAACTGAATTCAAAATCTTACTTCTAACCTACAAAGCTCTCAACAACCTAGCTCCATCTTATATTACAGATCTTATTGTTCCATATTTTTCTAACAGAGCACTTCACTCTCAGACTGCAGGCTTATTCGTGGTTCCTAGAGTTTCCAAGAGCAGAAGGGGAAAAAGATCTTCCAGTTATCAGGCTTCTCTCTTGTGGAACCAAGTTCCAGTTTCTGTCCATGAGGCTGACACATTGTCCAGTTTTAAGACTGGGATTAAAACTTTCCTTTATGATAAATCCTATAGTTAGGGTTGGCTTGTTATGCTGCTATAGGCTTAGACTACTGGAGGACCAAGTGACCTCATTTCCTTAAATTATTTGCTAAATTGAATAATTTTAATTTGATACCATTTCTATCTCAACATGTGATTCTTGACCTGCCATTGTGTATCTGTTCCTCCTTCCTGTTCCTCTCAAACCCAGCTGGTTAAAGCAGATGGACGCTTGTCCTGAGCCTGGTTCTGCTAAAGGTTTCTTCCTCATGAGGGAGTTTTTCCTTTCCACTGCCGCCTTCATTCTTGCTCAAGATGAGAGTCTGTGATGGAGTTAAATTCAAAGCTGCTCCTCACATAAATAATGTTAAATTATTATTTTTATATATAAATGTTTCTGTTCAGTGCCCTGACACGACTTCTGTTGTGACTTGGCGCTATATAAATAAACTGAATTGAATTTATGCGATAAAAAAAGCCGTTTTCTGCCGTTTCTTATAATAAAAATAAGCTTTTCATTGTTTTGTACAGAAAAACTGTTTAAGGCCCGTCTGTAAATAAACGGGGATGAAGAGACAAAAACGATCCATCCGGTCACATCTGCAGCGCTGAAAACACCGACAGGAAGTTTTGATCAACACTTCACTGACTGGCTGCAGAAATATCTAAATCAAAAGGAAACATGATGACCAGGCAGCAGCAACAACTCAGGCTGACCTCAGAGGGTTTTTAATTTCTTCAGTAAATTCTGGACTCGGCTGCTCACCTGGGGGTTGAGGGTGATCTCCAGCGGAGCGTCGGGCACGACAATAAAAAGACGTGCCAGCTGAGCGAAGTGCGGCTTCAAGCCTCGACCCTGCGACGAAGACGGGACGTAAAGCGGCATGTCGGTGTTCAGCACCCTGGTGGCGGGGTCTTTGGCGCCCCCTGGCCCCAGCACCTTTACGATTTTATCGGGCCCGCTGCTAATGAAGCGTCGGCCCCTGCCGTCTTCATACTCGAACCCCACAAAGACCCGAGCCATGTCGTCCCTCCTGCGACTCCTGCCCAGATCCCCGGTGCTGCCTCGCTTTCCAACAAGGTTCTTGTTGGGGGCCGGCCATGACGATGGGCCCCCATCCAAAGACTCTGTTAGTCCTGTATCTTCCTCTGATCTAGAGCGAATCACCAAATCCCACGGTAGAAGGAAGGAGGAGCCAGGGAGAAAACCCGACTGCTCCAGGCCCGTGTGGCAGTTGTAGGACTTTGCTGGGCCCAGTTTGAGCAGAGACCAGCTGGAGAACTTGGGGAGGAGGCCTTTGGGGCAGCTGGAGTGCATCATACCTGGGAGGTACTCCACAGTGGAGGGCTGGCGATCAATGAGGCTCGGCCTCTTAGGCTGGACTTGGTTTTCAGATCCCTCTCCGTCCCCGTACGGCCCCAGGCTGTCGGTGGACTGACCCAGACTGAGAGCCAGGCTGAGACTGGTGTCTCCCGGCGTGTGGCTCTGGGCGGTGCTCGGCTCCTTCAGCCTCTCGGCTTCGCCCGACGTCTCGGTTGGGAGCCGCTGGGTCTGGTTGGAGGCTGGCGCCGGGTCAGGAGTGCTGGGCTGGAACACCGGAAACTGGATCCTCTCCAGCTTCCCGCAGCATTTCTCCTCCAGCATCTGTTCAACAAAGTAAAAGTATTCAAGGACGGTGCAGAGCGACACGTGTTGTGGATTATTTTACGAGTCTCGACTCGTTTTAATCGTCTGCGGCGAGCGGTGAAAGGCAGGCAGGAATGTTTTTGACCGTGTCTGTGTATCCTGTTTGTTAGCAAAATATCTCGTGAATCACTGGATAGACTTTAATAAAACTTTCAGAGAACAATCAGTGGATCCAGTTGATTAACCTTTGAGGCCTTTAGGATACAAGTCTGTAAATCAAATTGATCTTTTTAAAAGAAGCTAACCTGTAATCCCTTGCTACTTCACGGATTTGCGGTTTTTCAAAGTAAGATTGTACAGGACACATGACTCTCAACTTTAAAATTACTCACGTGATTGGGACAGTACTGGATACTGTACAGTAAAAAGTTAACAACAAAATAAAATACTTTGGACAGGCGCCACCATTTTGTAGCTTTCTCTCAATGAGCCTACACTGTATAAGGACTACATTATGTACACTCATAAGGAATACATTTCCCAAAAGCCAACAGAGCCCTGTTGTCTTCTTCTGAAATATGAAGAGGGAAAAAAGTTTTGATCTGGTCGGAAAAAGTTCAGTCCTTATTCACATTGACTTCGGCGCCCAGCAGATGCAGAGAGCAGCACAGAACCCACCGGGAACTGGACCAGAACCGGACCTCCAAACCCTTCGGCAAATCTGAGAGCTGCTAGCCAGCCCACGAGGACTTCCGAGTGGGGACACATGCCACCGTAGGTTTGGCGCTCCCTCTGGAGCCCATCGCCACTACCCCGAGCCAGAGAGCCGACCAGAACCTGCAGGGTAGGTCCGCTGAAATAGAACCAAGTCGGAGCAGAACAGAGAGCTGCTGTTCTGTCGAGCTGGTGAGTAAAATTTAGTAGCTACATAGACAGTACTGTGTGTATGTGTAGGTTTAAGAATTTAGAGAAAGAGTGTGGGAAGTGTTTCTAACGCCTTAAAATATAAATACTAAAATAAATATAACGTTGCTACTTCGCAGATTTTCACTTATTTGGGGGGGGGGGGGGGTAACCCCCGCAATCAACAAGGGACTACTGTATGTCACTCTTAGATTACCAAGTGTTTACCTTCAAATGGTTGGAAACAAGTCTAACAGGTTTTAAAGTTTTAAAATTAAATTAATTTACTTTATTTCTATGAAAAAGCTCACAGTTAGCAAGGATCCACAACCTCTCCTCCTCCACCATAACCCTCAGCACTGGTCTCCTCAGGGATGTGTGTTTAGCCCCCTCCTGTTTACTCTGCTCACGTATGATTGTGCAGCTACCCATCCAGGCTGTCACATTGTAAAGTTTGCAGATGATACAGCGGTGGTGGGATGCATCACAAACAATGATGAGTCCAGCTACAGGCAGGAGGTGGAACACCTGGAGTGCTGGTGCAAAGAGAATAACCTTCACATCATCGTGAAGAAGACAAAGGAGATGATTGTGGACTTCATAAGGAACAAAAACACCTACACCCCCCTGAACATAAGAGGATCTGCAGTGGAAGTGGTCTCCAGCTACAAGTACTTGGGTGTCCACATGAATGACAACTTCAGCTGGAGCAACATCACCACCAGCCTGATCAAGAAAGCTCATCAGAGACTCTACTTCCTCAGACGGCTGAGATGAGCTGGTCTGGGAAGCTCAGTCCACACCTCCTTCTACAGGTGTGCAGTGGAGAGCATCCTGTGCTCCAGCCTCAACGTGTGGCATGGAGGCTGCACAGCTGCAGAAAAAAAAGCTTTGCAGAGAGTGGTGAAGGCTGCACAGAAGTCTGTCGGAGTCAGTCTCCCCACCATCACAGACATTTACACCTCCAGATGAAGGAAGAGGGCTACCTGCATCATGAAGGACCCCACTCACCCAGCACACACACTTTTTGCCCCGCTCCCCTCAGGAAGGAGGTTGAGGAGCATTAAGTGTAGAACCACTAGACTGAGGAACAGCTTCTACCCTGAGGCTGTTAGACTCATGAATCTCTAACCAGAATAATCACTGTGAAAAAATTACATCATGTTGCTGCTGATCTGTTTCAATGTTGCTGCTGATCTGTTTCATGTTGATGTGTTCATGCGTGCACATCTGCTCACACAGACTCATGTTCATGTTTGTGCTGATGTTCGACGTAATGTTTTTATGCTATTAGTGCTTAGTGTATATTTAGTTGATGTTTTTCTTAGTTCATATCTTAGATGTTATTACTGTTTTTCTGTTACATTTTATTATTGGATGTAACTGGGACCCTGTGTACATAATTTCGCTCCACCACATGTACCACATGAGGTGCGAATGACAATAAAGAACCTCTGACTCTGATAAAGCTAAAACCTCAGCCGTAGTCTCTTATGAACAGGTGACCAGGTGTGTAAGAAGTTAGAATAACGCAGACAAAGCTGCGTGTTTACTGCTCCTCCTGGTTCTGACCTGGTAGAAATCGTAATTTGCAGCCTGGATGTCAAACGGATCCTCGCGAGGAGCCTGTTTCCGGCCACAGTTACAGGAGCTGGTAGAGCGCCCCCTGCTGTTGTGGTTCATGATGGGTGGGTTGTGATCCAAGTCCAGCTTCTCTCCTGCAGAAATCGCACATAACAACTATTGTTTTGTGGAGAAGAGGAGGCGTTTCTGAAACTTCAGAGACTTCATTAAAATATATATTTTAGTGTTACTCCATGGATGTTTGCCGAGGAGATAACGAGCTGCTCACCTGGCTGAGGCAGGAGGTGGAACTTATGAACGCAGTGTTGATCCGTCAGACTCCTCTCCTCACACAGCTGGTGGCCGTTGCTCCAGAACTTGTAGCAGTCCTCATGAAGCTGCACAGCGTAGCGCTGGAAAGCCACACCGCGTGCGTGCTGGCTGTAGACCCGCAGGGCCTGGGCCAGCTGGTTTTTGTGCACCGTTGTGGTGTAGTTGTGCGGGAGGTTGGACTGGTAGGCGCTGTGAGCCAGCGGCAGAGCTTTTTGGCACCTGTTCTCTGAAAACTTTGTGTCAGCATCAAGAAAACCGTCTAAAATCTTCGCCTGGCTTTGCACTTTCGTTGCCAGCTCAGCTAGTTCCTCGTCTGTGTTTGTAATCAGAACCTGAAAGAGTTTGGAAGCGACCTGGACCCACTTGATGTAGGTCGGCAGCTCAAAGTGTGACGGCTGCGGGTTGCGGCCAACGCTGTCGTCGAAGCCCTTTTTGGTCAGCACCAGATCAACGTGCTGCCAAAGGAACTCCTTCAAGCTGCAATCAACCAGCTGACTGCCCCCCAACGAGCCGATCAAATCTCCACCGCAGGTGGCCTGCCGGGCCGACCGTCGGGTCTGCTGGTAGCGTCTTGGCCCCGACACCGGCACTGTGGTATCTTGTTCAGAGAGAATACAGTTGGACCGCAGCTGGTCGAGCAAAGTGCTCACCGGGTCCTTGTCTGCTGCTGGTATCACGTACACAAACGCCTGGTTGGCGGGCACGGTGAACAAACAGTTACTGCTCTGGTTGGTCAGAACTCTGCTCTTACGGAAGATCCGATAGATCTGGTCCTCCAGGGCGTGCTGGAGCCGCCTTCTGGGCGAGTGTTTTTTGAGTTTGTCTGGGTTTCCTCCAGCCTCAGAACCATTTGTGAAGACCTGTGAGAAACCAAACAGAAGAAGTGACTTTCACAAAACCAAGGAAGTCACCGTTTATGTAACGTCAGAATGTGTGATATTTACTGTTGCTTTATATTAAAAAAAAGATCAACCCAATTCTCTAACAAGTCCAAACTTCCCTTTAAAGTCTTTTAGTTTTAAAGGCAAGCAAATACTATTTATATATGTTCATTCTAGTCTTCTTAGTTTGAAGCAGCTAACCTTCCAATGCAAGAGTTGGGGGTTTGATTTCACCAGTAATCACATGCCGAAGTGTCCCTGAGCAAGACACTGAGCCCCTCATTGCCCCCGATGTGTTTCCCATCGGTGCATGAATGTGATAAAGCTCTGATTATTATTTGTAGAAATGTAGTAGAGTGCTGCATGAACGGGTAAATGAGTTCACAGATTGTTGTGTAAAGCACTTTGAGCGTCTTGATAAGATAGAAATTTGTTATACAAGTACAGTACATTTAAATTAGTCTTTAAATAATAAATATTTGCAAACTATTATTAACCAATCCTAAATAACTTTCAAAAATCATCACTGCTGTAGAATAAAAGCTGAGTGTAAAAGTGGGATTCCACACAAAGTACTTAATTTTTAATTAATTTTTGTTTACCATCAAGCTCGTCTCTAATCTGTACTCATGTTTCCAATTTAATTTAGGAGGATTTAATAAAAAGCAGACCTTAAGAGAGGCGTTCATCTGGAAGACGAAGAGGAGCCGTGGAGGACAGGGTCTGCAGTTCAGCTTCCACTCTTTGGACACCGGGCAGTCCTTGATGGCGGCCCGGACCAGAGGCAGCACCTTCTGCCGCAGGGCGTCCAGGGCTCTGAAGAGACGGTCGTAGGTCACGTCGAAGGTCTGGCTGGGGTGGACCAGCAGGAGGACGTGACACACCGAGAACATGAAGAACAGGTGGAGGCAGTGATGGCGGTCCAGGCCTTTCCAGAAGTCGTGGGCGTCCGAGTGGCTGACCCCGGCGTTCAGAGACTGACAGGCCCGCAGCAGCTGCAGGCTGTCGGACACGGAGGAGAGCTGCAGGTACAGAACCCGGTTCTCCTGGTTGTAGAAGGCCTGAATGTGGCTGTCCGTCGAGTCGTCGTCCTCCGCTCCACCGAGCAGCGAGAAGATGTGTTTGTCCGCCAAGGTGTTGATGAGAGCCTCCTTCACGGGTCCGGGCTGCGTGCTGCTTTTACCGAAAATACCGACGACGCAGAGGCCGTCGTCCCGGTGAGCAGCGTCCTCCTCCCGGAGCTCCGCCTGAAGAAGAGCCGCGACACTCACCGGCAGCGACATGCTGGCTTCCTTCATGGTGGAAAACAGGGAGGAACAAAAACAGCGGCGCACCTATTTCCCAACACGTTTCCGGTCCGTCATTATAAAGTGTCCGTGTAACAGCAGCGGAGCTTTTACTTCTTTGGATAGATAAACAAATAAAATTTAAGTTAGAGTACACTTTGTAACAATCTAAATTTAAGTACAACATTAAAAACGGGCGATAAAGGGAGAATTAGGTCAAATTAAAACAATATTTGCTTTTTTGTCTTCTGTATTTTAAACTTATTTACACATTTCTGGATATTTTGCTCATGGAGTAAGACTTTTTTGTTTTTGCATTTAATACAGCTTCAAGAATTCAAAACACGGGACTTTAAAATAAAAAATAAGAACAAATCAATTAAAACAGTAAAAAAATAAACAGAATCATAAAAATAATAAATCCACATACACGGACCTTTCAAACTTATTTAAAAGCCAAAATGTGTTTTAAGAGAAGATTTTGAAACAGGAAGCAAGTCTGCCTGTCTGATACATCAGGCAAAATCTAATTGTTTTACAGTTTGGACTCAGCGACTTAAAGCACAGGGCAACATATCATCAGGCTTTCTTTGTTTGACTTCTTTTTATTTATATTTCAAAGATCACCAACATTTTTCTTCCATGCTGATCAAGAAAATGGGCTGGATGACAAAAATGAACTTTAAATAACTGACAAAAATTAACAACAGATAAACAATCAGTAAAGGTTCTCAACACGGTCCAAGAACCATAAAGACTTGTTGATCCTTGTCAATAAAGAAAACAGGCAACAGCATGAGCTCAATACAGTCAATAAAACATGTAGTTTCCAAACCAGCCCAAGAAACAAAGATCATCTTTGATCTAATAGTAAAGATATTGGGCTGGTAAGCACAAATGAGTTAAATAAAGCAATAAAAGTCAAAATACTAAAGATTCCCAACCCAATCCCAAAATGATCATCAGTGAACTGCATCAATAAAGAAACGGGGCCGGGTCAAAGGGAACCAGCAGAAAGGAAGATTGTTATATTTACTGTAAAAGTTTGTCCTCAGGAAAAATGAGCAGGTTGAACAGAAACAGGCTGATGGAAGATTAAAACACCAGGGTGGGACCCAGTATCTGATGGTACTGGCCTGGTACATGGTCCACAAAGTTTCTCTGATCCAACCGGTCTCAGACTGAACTCTAGACGTCTATGTCAGAGGATCGTTAAGAAGAGACGGGCTGTCTGTCTGAAGGTCGTCCAGACACGTGGCCTGCTGCTGGTTCTGGTTTGAAGCTTCTGGGCCGGTCTCATCTGACACAGTTCTGAGCAAGAAACCCAGCTCCTCTCAGTGGTTCTCAAACATGGGGTCCCAGAACCTCAAGGGTCCACAAGCCAGTGCTTGAGGGTCCCCCCCCCCCCAAAAAAAAAACAAAAAACAAAAACATTATTATTATTATTACAAGCACATAGATGTTTAACCCATTAAAATACACCAAAATGCAGGAAATCACATTTACTTTTTTCAAAATTTTCTGGGGAGGGGAGGACCCCCCCCCCCCCCCCCCCCCCGGTTATTTACGCCATTTACAAATGAAGCCGTTACTTGGTACGACTACTGCTGTTGTGATTCTGTTCAGTTTGATGTAAATAGTTTTCTGTAATCATTTGAAGAAGTGGCGATGCATTTGTTCATTATGTGAACAGGTAAAGTTTCTAAGTGGTTTATGATACTGGTAATTTTCTCAAAACTGTAATTTTTGGAAGTTGAAATTAATTATTTTTTAATTAAGTGTGTCTTGAATGAAAAATACCCCATGTTTAAAAGTATAAAAATGGTATTACCACTATTAAAGACCAGGTCTTAAGTATTTATGTTGCACAAATATTTCCATTGCATTAAAGAGACAAATTGAAGAAACTTATTTAATAAACATGAGGGTTATGAGGGGGTCCCTGAAACTTGTTCTTCCCTGTAAGGGGTCCCTGCACCCAAAAAGTTTGAGAACACCGGGGCCTGACATAGATTCTCTGAGAGAGCTGGACTCTGTCTGCAGGGGGAGCTCTTTGTTTTCCACACCTTGCTGTGGAGCCAGATCATGGAGGTCCTCAGAGTCCTGCTCCTCACTCAGCTGCATCACTTTTTCTTCCAAGGGCAGGGAGGACTTTACTTGATTCAGGGACTGTGCAGCGATCTTCAGAATCTCTGAGAGCCAAGAGAGTCTTTTGGAGCTCCTCGGCTTGTTGGTGAAGAGATTTGTTTTGTTCTTTGAAGTTTTAACGAGCTTCTCACAGATTTCTTTGGTTAAGGCCTCGTTCTGGAGTTTTGCAGACTCGACTTTCAACTCGTCATAGTTGGACTGAAACTCTGAGCTGAGTGAGAACAGCTTGAAGCTCCTGGGTCTTGTGCTGCAGAGCCTCATCGTAGAGTTTCATGGCCTCCTGATCCTCACAGCTCTTTAGCTGCTTTACTTTGTCTGTCAAAACCTGGTTCTCCTCAGACATGGAGGAATTCACTCGACTCAAAGTTTCACAGCCGTCTTTAGAAGCACTGAGGTCCTCCAGGGTTCGTTTCAGCTCCTGACCTCGTTTTTGAAGACCTTCATCCTTTTCTTGTAAGGCCTGTTGGCTCTCCTGCAGCTTCTTACTGGTCTCAGAAACATTTCTCTCCGAGGCCTTGTTTTGATGCTGCAGATGTAATTTCTCTTTTTGACTTCAGCGCAGTCACTTCCAATAATTTGCAGCTTCGCGACAACATTTTGTAGCTCTGTGAGTTTTGAGTGCCTGGTTCTGTTGTTTTACGGCCTCGTCACCTGTGAGCAAACTTTCCTGGAGCTCTTTAACTTTTTGCATTAAGGAGATTTTGTCCGTCTCCAGGTCTTCGATGGTGATGGTTGTGCAGACGGTGTGTCCATGTCCTGAAACAAACCCTTGTTGTTTCTACACAAACAGTCAACATCCTGGCGAAGAACTTTATTCTCTGAGGAAAAAAAATGTTTTCCAGTCGGAGGATGCTCGTTTATTTTTTTGTTTCTGGAGGACTCCATCTTTTTGTGGCGGCTGTTCATCTTTTTAAGCTCCCAGTTCTCCTGTTCAAGATCCCTGCAGGTCTTTAGGACCTCTTTGTCTTGCTTAGAGACCCAGTAGTTACAGGGTGTGTGTGTCGAAACATGGCTCTTTTCTGCTAAAGAAAACAAACAGTTGTGAAGATGTTTGTGTATTACTGTAAAAAAGAAACTACACCGTGATACTTTACGTACCAGTAACTCTCAGATGTTCTCATGAAGTGAATCTGCTTTGAAGAAATGCTTCAGCACTTCTGTTCCAAGGATTCAAGGTTCTTTATTTGTCATACGCACCACATGTGGTACATGTGGTGGAACGAACTTGTGTACACAGGGTCCCAGTTACATCAAACAAAAGTATAAAATGTAAAAGAAAAACAGTGATAAGATCTAAGATATGAACTAAGAAAAGTGTTAATAAAAATAACTAAACATTGACACTAAACAATAATAAAAAAAACTGTTTGGATTTATATTAAGGTTTTCAGGAAATAACAGAATTGAAGCATGTAGTGATGACTGATCGCATGAGATGTGATTTTAAAACCTTGTCTTTAACTGTTGGAGTCGACTCCGTCTGTTTGTTAGCAAAATATCTCATGAACCACTGGATAGATTTCATTGAAACTGATAAGAAAGTAATCATTGTATGCTTCTGCGACTAAATATCTCTTGGAGTCAAGTTATTTCAAGATGGACGCCACAATTAATTGGCATACCATTCCTTAGCCATATTTATGAATGTTGAGCTAACGTTTGTTGTGGTTGTAGCTGAGAGTCATTTCCAACATGAGCTCTAAGTGCAAACATTTTGCAACCTCTTTGTTTAAAACGTTGCCACCAACTACTGGAGTCAGCTTTGTCCTTTTGTTTGCAAAAAAAAAAAAGGTCTCCTCACCCACTGGATTGATTTTATGTCATCTCAAAGTAATCCCTGGCTGCACAGCCACAAGTAAATAAAACAACAATGACTAAATCAAAACTACTAAACAACTACGGTACTACTACAAACTAAAAACTTGCATTGTAAGCAAACCGAAGCATGTTTTCTGTAGACGACAGCAGTCATATTTCTATAACGTTCAAAGGGATCTGATTAGTAGGAACAAAAGATCTAGTTTTATTATTTCAGACACCACAATAAATCAATATGTGTCTGAAAAATATTTTTGTTTCATTTAGTGGAGCTATTTATTGGACGTATGTCTTTTGTTTGTTAACATAACATAATAATTGTAGCTTTTAAATCTAGTCAGACTGCTTTGGATCAGTGACAATTATTCAAAGAACACAAAAGTAATTCAAACCAAAGTAAAAATATCTCCGACCCGGGTCTGAACGATCTTAAGACCCAGGAAAACTGCACACGTTTGATGCATGATGACTGTTTCTCACAACCATTTACGCTGCAAGGTGAGCGCCTTAAAAACATTCAATGACCGTGGTGGAGGTCTTGTTTTTATGTTTCCATGGCAACACCTGATTGCTGCATTCGCCTCTCTGTGGTCGTGATTAACTTTTCCTTTAGGACTTTATTATTATACATGTCGGATGTTTAGTGACATGTTCTTATAGTTTATATGGTTTGTTTGAAAAACATGTCCCTTTGTGACATGTCTACATGTATTTACAGCTAAAGTCAGCTGTTACATAATGCTTTATAAAGAGTTGAGTCTTTCATTTGCCCCGTAGCAGAGTGAAGAGGGGGAATCAGAAATACCCTTCATCTGTCCGTCCGTCCATCTGTCTGTCCGTGTTTTGAGCATACGTATAAAAGAAGGTGTGGTACTGAATTCCATTTAGGTGTGTGGCTGCATCTAAGTGTAAGAAAGGTTCCTTTTGAAATTTGGGTTGCCATGTCAAAATCCAAGATGTCTGCCACCATTTATGTGCATCCGCACTGAGAGTTGGATAACTTGAAAAATAAGCAACCTGCCTGTGTCAGTTTTTGCATGTAGCTGCAAACGTGCGTATCTCTGGTGGCCACGGCCACCATTGGCCACCCTCTTGCTCCGCCATTGTCTCCGGTGGTGGATAAAATTGCTGCTCCCATCTGCAGGACCGGTCAATCTACTCTGCTTTGGACAAGCAAACAACAACTGCCTCTGCTCCTCTTCACAGTGTAACTCCTGCCCACTTTAATATCTATCTATATTTATAAGTGAATGTTTTAAGTCTGTATATCTGTCTTTTATTGATCCAAACATAAAGTCAAAGATGCTGTCTCCTCAGTTCTGAAAGCTTTTTTGTTCCGAATCTGTGCACAACTTCAGATAATGTTGGAGGGCAGTTTGTGGTTCAGGTTGGCCATGTCCTTCATACTTGCAGAGTTGTTTTACATACTTTGAAAACTCAAAAGTCCTCATCAGTCATAAATTCACTGTCATTGTTTGTGATGTGTTGCGGGACAGTTGTTACTCCTCTTTGTTTTGTTGACAAAAAGAAGAAAAGGGAATAAAACAAGGCAGCACAGTGGAGCAGTGGTTAAGATCTGTGGCCTCTCAGCAAGAAGACCAAAGGCTCGCCTCCCAAGGGACTTCTTATGTGCCGGTTACATGTTTCCCTGTGCACATGTGGGTTTTCTCTGGGTACTCCAGTTTCCTCCCACAGACCAAAAACATGCATGTCAGGCTGATTGGCAACTCTAAATTGTCCCTAGGTGTGAGTGGTTGTTTGCCTCGTTTGTCTCCATGTGTCCCTGTGATGGACTGGAGACCTGTCCAGACCAGCTGGAGACAGGAACCTGCTGCCCGTGATTGGATAAAGAAAAAGGATGAATGGATGGAAGAATAAACAAATCAGCAAAAGAAAACCTTTCAGACAGTTGTCATGGTCAGTGTTTTATTCTATTCAGTTTTTTTTCTTCTTCTGTTTTAAGGTTTAATTTGAGGTATGGTCTGGAGACAGTGGTACTGACAAAAAGACAGGAGACAGAACTGAAAGTAGCAGAAATGAAGACATTGAGGTTCTCCTGACGAGTGACAAGGATGGATAACATTAGGAATGAGATCATCAGAGGTTGAACAACTGGGAGATAAAGTTAGAGAGGCCAGACTGAGATGAACAACAAAATCCATGCTCAATAATCCAGGTATACAATCCAACATTTTTCCATCAGGTCATCTGGACAGTTTATTTATTTTTTGGAACTGAAACGTTTCGCCTTTGATCCGGAAGGCTTCATCAGTCAAGGAGACACACAACACAAAACTGATGCTTCCCCCAACAGCTTACTCCAAAGTGGAACAAACCAGACTGAGATAGTTTGGACATGTCCAGAGGAGGGACAGTGGGAATACTGGTAGAAGGATGTTAGAAATGCAGCTGCCAGGAAAAAGACAAAGAGGAGACCCATAGGCCTGTCACAATAAACAATAAATCAATTAATCACATGATAAATGAAAATTATCGACCTCATTTTCATTTATCGGCTTTATCGTTTCTTCGTGTCTCTCTCTCTTTCTACTGAAGACACTGGATGACAAAAGTCTCAACTCTGGTGCTCTTCGCTGACCCCTCCCTTTCTCTTTAAAATCTGTTTTAACTGTCCAAAATTGTGTTTTTCGATCGTTAAAAGCAGCTAAGCTGAGAAGTTAAGCTAACAGGCCGACCTCGGGGAAAAAACCTCCGTCTTGTCGAAGCTCCAAAATTCACGGTTGAAACCTGTGCCTTTGTCTAAAAAGTTGTTTTTCTCTGCAAAAAAAAAAAAAAAAAAGAAGCTGAGAACTTGTTTACTGATTTTTTTTTATTAAAAGCTTTGTGTGAAAAATGCTATGCTAAAGAGCTCAAACTACACCGAGAGTCCGCCATTTTGAGAACCGAAGAGAGACAGCCCGTGTCAAGTCAAGGGGCCTCCCTCCCATTTTTTTTAAAGAGACACGCCGCTCACTCCCTCACTATCCATCCTTCGGTTCAGTCTTATACTGCCATATAGTGGTCAAAAAAAGTACTATACACAAAATGAACCATTTTTTTAATTTGTCAATAATTACCAATTATTGTCAAATTTCAAACAATATCATTTATCGCAATAATTTCTGAGACGATTAATCGCCCAGTAAAATTTGTACAGGCCTATATGTAGAGGACATGGAGGTAGTTGGAGTGAGGACAGAGATGGAGGATGACGACTCACTGTGCGACCTCTGAAGAGGGAACAGACAAAAGAAAACGCAGTTCTGAAGTTAATGTTCACGTTTATTTATGTTTTATTTTCTTTGTGCTCAGTTTGCTTCATTGCCTCCGAGTGTTTTCTCTGTGCCACCAGTTCATTTCTCCTCAGTCAGTTTCTGCTCCTCATCTGCGCCCAGTCGCCATTTTGCCCAGGTGTCTCCACTCCTTTCATCAGCCCCTGAATCATAGTCACTCAGTTTTCACTCCCCCTGCAGTTTGGCATTTTTGTGCTTTACACCCTTTATTTATTCTCTCCTCTATCTCCTAGAGTTTGTTTCGCAGTTTATTATTTACTGTTTACTGCATTTAAGACTTGTATGTTAATGAAGGCGTATTAAAAAGGCTTATTTTGCTTGTTGCACACAATTGATTCTAAAGATTCTGCTCAGAGACAGCGATAAATCGGGTTGAATTGACTTTACGTCACTGAGCGTCCGTCTATTTCAGTCTTCCTGAGAACAGCGAGGTTAGGAAATGTGTTCTTGCTTTATGGTTGTAAAAAGTAAAGGCCTTGAAGAAGACTGCTGCCTCGTGTGTCTGAAGGACTCCATCCTTTGTTGATGTTTTGCCTGCGTCTCCTTGGAAGATAGATTTATTGATCTTGATGGCGAATTCGCTCCATCAGTGTATCTTGAGCAGTTCCTTACCTGCGGCTGTGGTTTCAAACGTGGCTGTTTTGTTGGTTTGTGAACACTCCCTAATTTGCCGAGGAGCAAACAACACTTTGAGGCATTTTGAGGTTCATCTTGAAGACCACCCACACTCCATGGACCCTGTCTTCTGTCTGATGGGATCAGAATTCCAAACAAGACAGTAGCTTCACCTGAACTTTGAATCAGAATGTTTTGTTGTCAAATATACCTGCATGCAAAATTGTTTTCTTCTTGGCCACTGAAGCCTCTAGTACTCACATTCAATTATAAAGCACAACTTACTAACAAACTAATAAAAGTAGAAGTAAAAATATTTATAGGCTGCCCAATAGGAGAGAGTGGTTATAAATAATTTCTCACAAGTACAAATGCACAGCTGAAATGAATGAACAAGAGGAACTTGATTGTAGCTGTTCACACACTGATGATAATTTTACACAAGTTAACCCAGAACCACAAAATGTAGTCAAGTCAAGTCAGATTTATTTATAGAGCACATTTGGATAATATGAGCAAAAAAACAATTTTGAAATTACAGGAACTTTCAAGGCTGACAACAAATTCATACTTTAATTAAAGGCCTGATATTCACTGCAAGAATGTAGATCTATCATCAGATTGGCAATCATGTAATTGCTTGTGGCTGTGTTTGCTTGTCTGTTAGCAAAATATGTTTGGGGGTTCTGTCCTTAAAATGGACCAGTCTCTGTCTGAGCATCCTGTTAGGACTCACCTGTTTCTCAGGTGCGACTCATTATCTGTAAAACTGGCTGAGCTTCCGCCATTCTTGTGTTGGGTGACGTCACAAATCCTGACACAAACATGGCTGACGTTAACATTTAAGACAAAATGGGCATTCAGGGCATGTGCTGGGAAAAAAATGCTCAGCTACTACCACACATCACTTTAGCTCAACATCTGCAAAATGTAAGGCCTGTTGGTTGTGGTGGCCATCTTGGTTTAATATCCAATAATGATTAGATTATTAATACCTTAAAAATAAATGCTAACCTTTAAGTCAGAAGATTTTTAGTTTGTGTATTTATTACGAGAACGGATAAATATAGTAAAGGTGCATGATGCGATAAAAAGTTTGTTTTTATAAACGAAGCAACTTTATGTTTTTAAACATGTAGCGGTGACTGCGGGGTTCGTGATGGCATTTCTACAAAGAGCTCTCCGACGTCACGAGGCAGCGGCGCTGCGTGCGCGTTCGAGACACCCCTCTGACGTCAGGGCCGTCTGATCAGCCGAAATCCCTGATAAGGCGGCGCGCGCTCCCGCTCGGCTCTGAATGGGGGCTCGGTCCAGCCGGTGACAGCTCGCGCACTCAGTAGGTGCCTCTGCAGACGCCACGGTCCACTCCTCCAGTCCGGTCCGCCGCCTTCCAGCTCCGCCGGAACCTCACGGGCCCCGCTCCTCCGGTAGTACCCAGTTATCCAGGTATGGCCGCGCGCTGACACCGGTTCGGTTCGTGTTTGACTCTTCTCCTCTGAAGCTGCCGACAAGTTGGTGCCGCTGACGGACAGAGTGTCTCTTGTGTGTCCAGGAATGAGAAATGATGGCCGGCTCTGCAGCAGAGGAGAAAACCTTCCGCCGGTTCCTGGAGCTCTTTATCCGGGAGATGAGGATGCCCCTGCAGGAGAGCGACCCGGTTCCGATGCGCCCCTTGTCGGACCTGGTGTCTGAGGACGAAGTGGAGGGAGAATGTCTGGACCTGTGCGTCCAGCACCTCTACAAATAGTTAAGTGCGCGCTTTCTTTCCGTCCGTGCATGTTGAATTTTTGAAACGCTTTTGAAGTTCTGGGAAGGCGGGGTGCGCACGCGCGCGTGTGACCCATGGCAAGGGATGCCCGCTGGCTCCTCCAGCAGAATGCCAGCTAACCTGCTCTGCAGGCTGAGGGTGTGTCCTCCCGGGACCAGGTCCACAAACACGAACCGAAGCAGGTGAAGCTCTCCCATGCGTGTGTGCGCGCACGCAATCTATGTGCGCGTCGTGAGACAGCAGCAGGGTGCAATCTATAGAGGTCCACAGAAGGTGAACCCCTGGTTTTGCGTAAGAGCGCGTCGTCATGATGGTGTAGGAGGGGGAGGAAGCCATGAGCGCATCTTCATGCGGGCTAAAAATAACCAGCGGTTCTGTTCGGACGGACCGGCTCGGTAAAACCCAACAGTCTGAGTGAAACAAATAATCACAGTGACCTTGTTTTAGGTTTTAGTTGCTGCATGCCTCGTGATATTTTAGCCATTTTGATGTGAACAGGTTCAGCTCATGCAGGCGATGATGGGAGCTGTGACTGTTGGAGTTTGTGAGTTTTATCAAGAGCTTTAATCGAAATAAAATTTCAAAATAAAAACATTAAAATCCAGTTCCTTTTGAAATCTGCTTCAGCACACCTCTGTCTTGCTAAGTTTAGGCTTTTAGCTACAATTTAATTACTCTAGCTGCTGTGAGCTGCATATTTAATAGCTTGTGTTCATTATTCTGCTCCATAGTCTATCTACAATTGAGATAATTAGCTTTGTAAATTTAATTATTGTTTTGTTAATTTAGCATTATTATGTTTTGCTGCTTTAGACTGTTGAATTTAAACTTTATGAATTAATACTTGTAGCTACAGTTTTGCTACTTTTACCTACAATTTTTGTGTTTAGCTCGTGTTCTTTTAGTTATCATTCTGCTCCTTTGCATCATTGCTAGTTTTAGTAATTGTTTAACTAATTTCAGCTTTGTCTGTCATGCTGTTTTTTTGCTAATTAATTAATTAATTTACAGTTTTATTAAATTTAGTTGCTATTTAGCTCATTTTAGCTTTCTTTCCTAATATTTGAGACCTTATTTTAGATTTTAGCTACTGTTCTGTGTTTTTGACTGTCCCGAGGACCAGATTTAGCTTTTTGAGATTTTTCTACCTGGATTATTGAGCATGCTTCAGGATTCTGTTCTGTTGCTTTTAGCTACTGTTAATCAGCCTTTAGCTTCTAATTGTGGTTCTGCTTTGAGTTTTTAGCTCGTGTTCTGTTCATTTTAGCCTCTGTTCTGCTTGTTTTACCCTTAAGAACTCAGTTTCAGCTTCTTTGGCACATTTCATCAAAGCGATTCGGCTCCTTTTCCTTTACGCTGCATTTTTTTCGTTCATTTTGTGTGTTTTTGTTTGTCTTTCTGACAGCTGCTTGAAACGTGCACAAACTTGTCTGAAACAGGAAAGCGCGCCCGCCCTGAGCGCTGCTGCCTGGCCTGGTTTTAGATCCAAAATAGGTGCAGAAACTGTGCTGGGAAGAGTGAGCTGGACTCATGTAGGGCACTAAAAGTGACGGCGGGACGCTGAAATGAACGTTGTGTCGTTTATTTTTTATAGGAAAGCTCAGTTTATCATAACGCTATTCACTTTAATATTAGTTTGTCCTAAAACACACTTTGCACAGTGTGTTCATCAAAAACAACAAATAAAATATGATTTAATAGTGAAAAGGAAACTATTCATTGACATTTCAACTAGAGCCTAAAAAAAAATAAAAATCATTGTTTCTTGTAAAGCCTGTCAGTTGTTTTAAAATAAAAAAGTAAAGGTTGGGGAAATCCATTATCTTGTTTGAAGAAACTTTATAATCAGTTTTTCAGTTTGCATTGATTTGCCAACAAAAAAAAAAAAGATGGCTTACTAAACGAAGGGAATGGATTTATCTCTCTTGTTGTGATACCTGGCAGCTGCAGGGCTCCGTACTTTATCTAATCTAATTTCACAGATTCCACGGCTCGTTGTTTAAAAAGAGCTGCTGCTGCAGCAGAATTTGTTTGGAGTAGAAAACAGCTCACATGTCAGGCCTCAGTCAAAGCTTACGTGATCGGGTGTATCACTTCAGCTCCCATTAACATTACCTGCAGCCACTTAAAGCTGCGCTCTCTGTGGGTTTAGACCTGCAGTGAACATGTTGCAGCAACAAGGATTTCTCTCCTCTGTCTTCTGTAGAATATATCCAGCAGTTGTCACAGTAACAACCCAGACTTCGGTCACGAGAACCACTCTGAATAGAGCAGCAGAAGGCTTACATTTCAGTCAAGCAGAAAGATGTAGGTGGAGATTGATTATAGTGCCTCAGACAACAACAAAGCTGTGTTCTTTAGCGATTTATCTTTAAAGCTATTTTGTAACGTTTCAATTGACAGAAGAGACACTTCTTGTAATTAAACTGCACAAACAGATTTGTCTGCTTTTGTTGCATTCAGTATTGTAGTTTCTCATAAAGGTCTGCGAGTTTGTCGTTTTGTGTTTATTCTGGACTCTTTCACCCGCCACTGGAGGAAAAATGGCAATGATTTTTTGTGTGTGTGTCTTTATCATTAGTAAAATGGCTCGTGAACCAGTGGATGGATTTTAATAAAACGAGTAATCATAGGATGTATGCCTATGCAATTCAAGATGGCCACCTCACACAATCATCTTTAGCTCCAAGTGCTAACAGATCAAGTGAGATGTCGTTATATTGCATAAAACTGAGCTTAATGTTATTTTCAAGGTGTAGCCAAAATGATTTTATCTGTCATTTCTCAGCATGAAAATGATTTTGGTCTAAAGCTCTGGCACGAAGGGCGGCGGGCGATATGCATTCTTTAAAAAAAAAAAGACAAAATGTGATTGCTCTTGTGGTTTAAATCAGCTAATAACGCTCAAAAAGCAGTAGCTCTATCTCTGTCTTCTACTGCTTATAGCATTTATAAGGTAAAGAGTATTGGTCCAAGCACTGAACCCTGAGGAACGCCATAACTAACTTTGGAGTATGAAAAATGATTCATTATTTACATTTACAAATTGGAATCTATCAAATAAATGTTAACGTTTGAGTCAGCCTCCCCACCATCACAGACAGCTACACCTCCAGATACAGGAAAAGGGCCACCTGCATCACACAGGACCTTACTCACCCAGCACACACACTTTTTGCCCCACGCCCCTCGGGCAGGAGGTTAAAGAGCATTAAGTGCAGAACCACTAGACTGAGGAACAGCTTCTACCCTGAAGCTATTACTCATGAACCCATAACCAGGATAGTTGATATGCGCTGCTGACTATCTATGCTGCTGATTTATTTCATGCTGCTGATTTATTTCATGCTGCTGATTTGTTTCATGCTGCTGTGTTCATTTGTACTCATCTGCTCACACAGATTCATGTTCGTGATGCTGTTGTTCGGTGTTTTGTTTTTTGCACTATTAAGTGTTTAGCGTATTTCTTAGTTCATATCTTAGATCTTATTACTGTTTTTTTTTTTTTAACAATTTATACTGTTGTTGGATGTAACTGGGACCCAGTGTACACCATTTCGTTCCACCACATGTACCACATGCGGTGCAAATCACAATAAAGAAACCTTGACCTTACTTTTATGTATATGAATGTTTCTGTTTAGTGCCCTGAGATGACTTCTGTTGTGACTTGGCGCTATATAAATAAACTGAATTGAAATGATCTGGTTCTGGAGGCAATGGGTCCAGTAGGACCAGGTGTTCCTAGGCCAAAAAGGATATATAATCCCTCCAGTGAGTTCTGGGTCTGCCCCAGGGCCTCTTCCCACTGGAACATGCCCAGAAAACCTCCAAAGGGAGGCATCCAGGAGGCATCCTAATCAGCTGCCCGAACCACCTCAGTGTTTTCCCACCATTATCCAAGAAGGGTGCCCCGCCCTGTCAACAGAACCACGTGCCCAGGACAAAAATGGCTCTTTTGGTCGTAAAGGTTGAAGACCCTTGCAGTAGATGAATCCCTACTCCTCCACAAAATCAGCACATTTTTAGTTTTAGTTTGAGCTGCCACTTTTCAGCATAAAAATGATTTTGGAGTTTGAGTGGAGTTTGAGTACCCTGTGATCCTTTGTTGCCAGATAGGGTCCCTCATCGCACACAGGCCTCAGAGGAGGGGTCAGACCAAGAGCGATTCAAAAACCTTGAGAGATAAACATCAGTTGCATCAAAAAACCTCTCCCAGGAAAAAAAAACAAAACAAACGGGGCGCCCCCTTGGAGCCAGGCCTGGGTTCTGGTGGTCGAGCTTCACTCCTGGCCAAGCCCGAAAAAGAGAGCGAGAGAAAGTTGAAGTGCAGTGCGTGCTGGGCGGCAGGCAAGAGAGGGTACCTGGCCATGCTGAATCCTGGCGATACATGGAAAATAAGCAGGTATTTTAGTCCAAAGTAGTTGGATTTTAAAAAGTGAGCATACTCACTTAACCCCCCTGCCGCCCTCGGGTCAAACTGTTCAAGGCTTCAGTTTTAAAACTGAGGCCTTGAACAGTTTGACCCAAGGGCAGCAGGAGGGTTGAATTTATGCAAGCACACAAGTTACTAATCTGATTACTTTTGATTTCCCTGCAGAAAAAAATGTGGTTAATAAAGTTTTAATAAAGTATCCAGCTGAAGATAATTACAGGACATAGAACAATCTAGATCAGGACATGTATGACTGAAAAGCTGCAGGCAGGTGTGTTGAACAGATGAGGACTTCTGCCGCGGACTGACGGTACGAGAGTGTTTATATTTGTGGGGTGGTCGGCGTCCTGTCTACTGTAGCTGTGCTGTAAGTGTGAAGACAGTCGGAGGCAGCAGCTATGGTGATTCATCCCAGCGTGTCATTAGTTTGTCTCTGGGTTGAACATCTAATAATAGACTTGTGCAAGAAGAGAGAGATCCCCCCGTGTGTGTGCACGCGCGTGTGTTTGAGAAAGGGTGTATTTATGGGGGACTGCTGAGCCA